TGAAAATGATGGGGATTTTAGAGCTATTCTCCGAAACCGAGCAATTGGAGACGATGAGCTAAGACTCAATTTATTGAATGCACCCAGAAATGCTACATATTTAAGCCCCTCTATTCAAAATGAAATAATAGATGTGTGCAATGATTTAATTTTTAAAAAAGTAGTAGCAAATATTAATAATTCTCCTTTCTTTTCAGTCTTGGCCGATGAGTCAATAGACATATCGGATAGAGCAGATGTCGTTGTGTGCTCGGTATTTATATTCTGAAAATGGTAAAATTTATATTTATTTTGTATAAAGTATTATCATTTATATAGATGAAGTTCAAATAAAAGAAGACTTTTTGCAAATTATTCCTGTTCAAGATATGAGAGGGGAATCTCTTGCAAACACAATTGATTTACATCTTAAAAAATTTTAAATCAATGTCAATTTTTCTTTAAAAAGATTTCGTTCGCTTGGGATGATTCCTTTAATATTTCGATACATGGATCTGGAATTCATTCCGATATCGAAGGTCCATTAAATAATTATGAACATTAAATTTGAAGAATTATTTACTCTTAAATTTGTTCACTTATCTGCCATGGTCAAAATCATAATATGAAAACCCTCTTTACACTTAGCTATATGATAAATTATCCATACAGTAAATGAATTTGTAAACATTTTAATTAGTAATATCTTCATCGTCTAAACCCGCGATATTTATTTAATTAGAATCTGTGGCAGATTTTTTATTTACTTTTTGCCAAATCGCGCAACTAGGTACTTAGGCCATTTTGAATAAAATATATATCGGAAAGAATTTCTAAAATAAATAATTTTATTAAAATTTGCTTGAGTAATTTATTCTCGTTTTCAAAGGTATCCATTAAATTGTACTGCATGATGCCTTCTATAGAAAAAAAAATTGGATTATTTTTAATCTTACCGGTTTTGGACTTTCTTTAATGGTATATTTTAAGTAAAAGTGGAATATCTGTATCGATTGACATCTGTAAATATTTACCTACATACAATCTATAAGAGAGAGGGAGGTAGGAGCGATTTGCCTCCCATTTTTTTGAAAAGGGGATCAACTGATGATGATTTGCTATTCCTGGCCTAAATGCCTGAAAGAGTTTAATTATAATTATTTACAGGTTATAAATTGTGGCTTAACATTTGTTAGATTAATATCATGAGGTGTTAAGAATGGGTGGGTAAATAACGCGGCCGAAGGGAGCGGGATTTTTTTAAGTAGGTAGGGGTAGATTTTGGACAAGGTTTACCTTCAATAAATTTTCTGTCATGCAGACGCTGCCTACACACTATTTTATTATTGTTAAAATATTACTATTGATTTATTTTTTTATATATTCATTCAATAAAAAAAATGGTTAATTGGAAAATGACCACCAAGAACGTGATAAAAAAAATCCCAATTTATTATTTCTTTCGGAGTAAACTAATTTATCCTAACTACCTACCTATTTAAAAATTTCTTTAAAAGATTTTGTTAAAATTGGACGCCTGTAGTGTTGTTAAATTGACTAAATCTTAACCTAATCGAACAAATTCATTAAGCCCTGAGGTATGAATATATATTTTCAAGATTGAGCTCTCCACCCCTGTTGGGATGTGATATAAAAATAGTTTACAATACTAGTCGTTAACTTCAAAAATTACTGCCATCGATATAATTATCAATAATAAAAACATCTGATTCACACTAAAAAACAAGATGATATAAAATTTAGAGCCAAGTTTGTTCACAATAAAATAAACAACTTAGGCATTTTAACACACACGCTCCAACGGAAATAGTGTCATACCAAACATGCTAGTAAAGAAGTATCCCCAGGGATCCAAACCGAAACAAATATCGGTTTGGTTCAGGTTCGGATAATAACAATTCAAGGTTCAGGTAGTTCGTATAAAAATTAAAATATCGGTTCGGTTCAAACCTCTAAAACCGGTTTAACATTTTAAATTCAAACCTAAATTCGAATTATATATAGAGGAAGAATATTTTCTTTTATTTCATCATTAAAATAAAAAACACATAAATAAAACCTTCATTTTTATTATTATACATAATAAAATAATATTTAACTTATAAATACAAATAAATATCAATAATTAATTTTAATATGAACAATTATTAACTTTATTTACTTAAAAATTTTTTAATAAACCTCACAATTAATATATTTTTATGATTCGTACTTTTAGATAGAGAAGAAAAAAATCAAATTATCATCATATAGAAAGGAGGATCAAAAAATGCCTATTGCATCATTAATAGAAAAGTTCTCAGAAGTTAAGATAATAAATAAGGATACAAATATTTTAAAATTCTGGTAAGAAAATTCTTCAATATATCCAGAATTATATATCTTGTCTAGAATCTTCATGGCTGTATCGGCGACACAAGTACAATAAAATAAAGATAACTATCTATTTTAGGTGAGCGTAGAACGTGGATTTTCATCTTTGAATAATATATTGTCTAATTTACGTGGAAATCTCAAGGATGATATTTTAGAAGATATTATGATTGTGCGATTGAATAAAACATTTAAAATATAAATTATTTCATTATTAAATTTATTATTTGTAATTTATGAATGTGTATATATTGAAGTATAATAATAAATGAATTTAAAAAAACTCTTATTTTGACTCATTTTTTTGTTCCCTGAACCCGGACCCTTTTTAAATTTTTTTACTGTACCCGAACCTGGACCTTTTTTTTGTCAAAGGGTTCACATCCCTGCTAGTAAGTATTCTTTTCACAATAATTCAAACTTTCTCAGCTTTTCACAAACTATATCTTTTCCTTATATAAAAAATCCTCCCACTTAATATTTGGTCACAGCTAGCAGGGTGATTTCTTGGGTTACATTACCTAGGAATATATGAGCTCAGCGTTTACGTATAATTAATATGTTCAATAATTGCAATTGTATTATTGAAAATATCATTTAGATGTGAAGGAATTGATTATTGAAAAGGGAAGATCAAAACTTGAAAAAGAAATAACTTGCATTAGTTATTTTTTTATCGATAAATATGAGTTTTCTAATTCTCCATATTGTTTGGTCATGCCTATTATTTCCAAAGGAAAAATATTTTTGTGAATGAAAAAGGATTTTTGGATAAGAATAATTTTTTGAAGGCAGTTTATTTGCAGTCGATGATTTAATTAAAATCATTTGGCGAAAATCGAATTGTAAATATGATAGATTTGATACGCAAAATATCAAGTGAAAAATTCGAAAAGGACCAAATAAAGTCCTAGTGATAGGACTGGTGCAGCCATTTATAGATGCCATCAAGTTGTTTTCTAGTTATATTTGTGTATACTTATACTTGATGGCAATGAATGGCTGCGCCAGCCCTATCACTAGGACTTTATTTGGTCCTTTTCGAATTTGTGCTGACCCAAGGATCCTTCGCTCTAATAAATGATTATCCTCTATTGATCTTTATTATATTTATAGGGGGTTGATTAAGAAATTCAAAGTTTTCTATGTTAGGGGGTATACGAGCGGTAAGACAAGCTGTTTCTTATGAGTTAATTATAAGATTTATTTTTACTAATAGGGTTAGTGTGATAAGTTATGAATTTGAAGAATTTATAACTCCTATAAATATATACGGGTATATATTTATTAGTTTCCTTTTTGATTTGTTCATTAGCTGAGAAATCGAACTTATTTTGATTTAATGGAAGGGGAGTCTGAGTTGGTGTCAGTTTTTAATGTTGAATTTTATTCGGGGTTTTTTGCTTTAATTTTTATAGCTGAATATATTTCGATTATGTTATTTTCACTACTTGCGAGAGTCATATGACTCTCACAAGTAGTGAAAATAACAGCCGTGATAAGATTTATAGTGATTATTGGTTTTTCTAGATTATTCTCACTTATATTTTTGTTTATTCGGGCTTCATACCTCGAGTTCGATATGATAAGTTAATAAAGTTTTCGTGAGGGGAGTTATTACCTTATATTATAATTATATGATTGTGAATTTTAATGGTTTGATAGTTTAAAGTACTATAATAAGCTTTTTGATAGAAAGCTTTAGTTACTTAGTAACTAGTACTGGTTCCTTTTAATTTTTGGAAGGTAATTACGCCAGGCCTTAAAGGAGGGGGATGTCAGAAAAATAATTTAATGATATACCCCCTTTTAAAATTTTAAACTATTTAAAAATTAGATTGCAAATCTTATAATTAAACTTGACGCTTCGTCACTGCATCAAGCCAATATGCCTCGGTCTTTATTATTTATCGTATCTCCTTTCACAAGGGCATACATAATTAACCAACATTATCAGCCCTCGAATATGTCTTATTTCGAGTTTTCAACTGGTTAGATCACATTTAATGGATTCAATAAAGATAGAGGATACGAAGTCTTAAATTTATCCCATCTAAAAATCTCAAATTGGAATTAAATAAAAAAGGGATCAGCTACGCTATATGTGTCAGGCTTAATATCGCTTTTCATTACCTTATACATGCAACAAATGCTGAACGATTATAGTTTGGCCAGTGGTAATATCCACAATCAGCAACTTGACAGCCAGATTTTATACTTGCTGGTAATCCAAAATTTTTTTTACCTTTGCCATAGAATGGGTAAACAAATATGAAGATCAAATTATTTTATCAATCCAAGGCTCTCTATAGGACAAAGAAATATTTTAGACACTTAGTTTACGATTTTTTTAAAAAATATTTCAAGTTCTTTATACGCAAATTTTTTAATATTTCCATTCGATTTTAATTAACTGCAATTTCCATTTTGATCTGTTTAGATCCTACATAACAATTTCACGCTAAATTTTGAAAATGTGTGTAAAATAAATTTAAAGAACCTCATATGACAAAATTCTATATATAATTGATGATTACTAATTATTAACTGTAGATTATATTTTATTTTAATAAAATATTTTATATAAATATTTACATTCATTCACATGGAATAATAAAAATTCGATATAATTCTACGACTAAATAATAAGCATACGTTTATTTATTTATAGAAATATATTATTACAAATGTAATAATAATAAAGTAGCATAAACAAATTTTTTTTTATTTTATTGTTTACGCCTAAGTCATCATCAAGAAAAGGCTTCTGGTGGAATAATTCCTTCCGCTTTGCATTTATTAAAATTGGTCATTGCTTCAACATAATTGCCCTCATTGTCGATCAAGCATTTTTGAGCCCAAGCCAAATTCATGCCAGTTTCTGAAGCAAAAGCAGTGAGCATTCTGGTTTGTTGTTCATTATGAATAGAGAATTGATTTTTGTGGGATGGTGAAGGTTCAGTATCTAAAATTGTCTGATTAATCCTATTTGTGTTATTGATATTAATCTGTGGAATTTGAAGGTTGTCTCTAGGCATGATGTAAGGATTGTGAGAAGGCTGATTGATATGATTTTCTAAAAAAATTGATGAATTTTGACTAGTTGATGTTGAAATATTGTTTACGAAAGCTTTCTTAAAACAACAAACAGAAAATATTAATTAAAAAGGAAATAGAATATGTTATTTTATACTTTGATCATATCTTGCGCTGGTGGCATTATGTATAGCATGTCATTGATAATCTTAATGCTTTATATAGTATAAAATTTAGAGTATATTACATATAATTTTTATACAATCTATATCTAATTAAATTTTATCAATATAAAAAATATTTTTCGATCTTTTAGAATAAAAAATAAATTACCCTTGGCCAAATGGGATGGTATAAAATGTTCGAGAAAAATAACGTATAAGACCAGTTTCGAATTCTCGTTTAGCTAAATATTTTTTTTTAAATCATAGTTAAGATAAAAAAATTTATCAACACTTTAAATGATTTTTTATTAGAGAAACATAACTATATTAGTAAAATTTCCCAATCACAGAAAAGTTATCAAAAATATAAATTTTTGTTAATAAATATTTTTTTTTGTAAATTTAACAATTGTTTCTATATTTTACAAATTTGTAAATTCAAGCCAATCACAATATATTTTTCGTTTTTTCTATTATAACAAAAATATTTAACGATTGATATTTGGGGAGACCTATTTATGTATGTTAACCCTTGGTGCAACACTGAGTATAAGGCATAGTAATAACCCCGTTTTAAAATTGTTATTACAAAAAAACATATCCATATTTTGTCTCGCTTATTTCAGTATAGCCTCCTTATTTATGATAAACTGTTTCTGCAAGGTGAACTAGAGAAAATCTAACTTAAAGTAAATAAATATTTTTTGCTATAACTAATTGATCAAAATGAAAGCAAATTTTGTGTTCACCATTAAAACTCATTCTTAGTAAGGGGGAAATTATAGTCAAAGATTCTAGAAATATCCAAATAGTATATATACACTATTTTATAGCCAAATAAATTATCAGAAGATGCTACAGTCTTAGGCCTGATGATTTACAACCATCCCATGGTCAAATGGAAAAAAATAAAGTGTGGGACTTCGTGGGTTTCTTTATTCCGTCAAAAAAAATCATTCCCCAATCATAATAGTCGAAACTAAAAAATGTAAAAACTGACAATAATCCCTCCACTATTCATATCCTCCCTCAAGTTTTTCCCCACTAAACCTCAATTTATTTATAATGTTTTTCCCCACTAAACCTCAATTTATTTATAATATACCCTAACTAAATAGGTTAAGGCAATAAATTATGAAAATATTAGAATTGAAATGAATAAATATTTTTTTATAATTGATTGCTTCCATGTACAGTAAATGTTAAATTTAATAAACCAAACATAGATAGACAAAATCTGTTAAAATTTAAAATTTGTATATAAAATTTGGTTTAAACATTAGGTATTCAGAAAAACTATCCAATTAAGGCTAACTCGATTTTTTTATAAATGTGAATCTTTAATGATCAATTGAAAAACTTATATTTACTTATATAAAATTTCTGAACTAAAAATAACTTTTAAATGGTGGTGAAACTTTATTGACAGATTAGAAGTTGTATAAAATAGATTTTACTGATTTTAAGAAAATTATCTACCTTTCAAGTACATTTAATAATATTAAATAATCCAAGAAATATATATTCCGAAATTTAACAAGAAAATTTTATCAAAAATGGGAAAATTTATTGGAAATGGGAATATTATATATATCAAAAATCTTTTATTCCATGCTGGTACTGCTTGGTAAAAATTGGAGCCTGGATTTTTTTATTGGAATTTTAGCTAACTTTATTTAAACAAGGAATATTGGGAAAACAAAATGTAAAGATGTTCATTGAATGTAAGATATTCTCTTATTACAATACTAGTGACGGACAATAAATGTTTATTAAGAGCAAAATAAATCTTTGAAATTATAATATTTTATTATATCCTATTACTACAATTATCTACTATATATAATCAATTAATATTTTAAAGAAAATAAATAAAAAAGAATATAAAGAATTAATTTCATACAAACAATTAATTTAAAATAAAATTAGGTCTATATTTTGTGGTTTGCACTCTGATTAATAACGTGACAAAATTATAAACACAAAAAATCTTTAGCGAAATAAATAGTAAAATTATAAAAACAATTCCTAATTCAAATATTTACAAAAAAATAATATTTCAAAGAATATTAATTCTTAATAGTTTAAACTTTTCTAAAGATGATATATTTATTAATATTATTGCTGCTTTTGATAAGATCTAAACTTTTATTTTATATATATCCATATTCATGACAAGATTGTAACCTTTCATTCTAAGTTAAAAAACAATGATTCTGGAAATATCAATATTTTATAAAGGATGTTACAGCCGGTCCAGCCCCGATACCATTCGGTCTGGTGCTGGATTCTAATATTTTTCATATTTAATAATCACATTGACACTCATTAATTATTATAAGTCTGCAAATGGAAACATTTTCAGGCCCGGCCCGGTTTTAGCTTTTGCCCAGCCCGGTCAAATTGTACCTGGCCTATCCGTTTACAATTTATGGTTACCCGGTCTGGTTTTTTTTAAATACAAGGCCTAACTCGAAATATATGAAGTTAAATATCAAATTAAACAACTGTTTAAAATACTAGGGAGTGGTTAAATTAAAAACACTTATGGATTATCACTTCTATCAAATATTAGAATTCCTCAATAATCCAGTAAAATAATTTTTTTGCCCAGCCCGTTAATTCTTTTGCTCGGTCCAAATAAAAAATTTCCAAACGTACTCAGCCTGAGCATTGCAGACCACTAGTTAATATTTAATAATATGGTAATAATTTAATATACCTGAGTCCTTGAAGAATCCAGTAAGCGAAAAAACCAAAAGGGTATTCTAAATGTATAAAATTATGTTTTTTATAAATATTTATAAGGCCAAAAGATAAAAGCAATATATAAATGAAATTTTTGTATTTATCATTATAATCACTATTTACATTATAAAATCAAGATTGTAATCATTAATTAAAACAAACTTTTAAATGTTTTATAACTAAGCTAATTAAATCTATAAAAATGATTAAGTTTACATTATAATTTTTTATCATAATAATTTTAAAATTTTTATTTAGAAATTTATAATAACCGTATATAAGACAACATCGACAACGAAAGAGGGATAGTCGTGTATGGTATCTGGTAAAAGATTCAAAAATGAAGCTATTTTGTCGCATCCTTGATGCATATATTTTCTCCTTCGATCTAATGGGGAAATGTATTTTTTTTCCATTGAATAAATAAGTGAAAACTTTGAATAATTTAAAAATCGTCGTCTGATTTTTATAGGAATTTATTTTGTTGTTACAATCTGATTTAAATCAGCCCGATTTTTTTAAATCAATATTTTTAAATGTGTTATTTCATTTAATAAATTATATCAAATTTTATTCGTAATACTTTTATTAGAGTAATTTTTCAAAAATTATATAATAATTAATTGCGTTCCCACAAAAGGAACCATAATTATTTTTTAAAATTATTTCCATTGAAATGAAATTTAAAACTAATCGTTATTTTACAAAAATTATAAAATAATTTTATTTATAAAAACTTTTTAAATCCTTTAATAAAGAATAGTAATCATTATTTAGATATAAAAAAAATACTAATTAACTTTGATTTCATATTCTATTTGAATTCCTACTAAAAATTTTGGCTCACAGTTGTAAAAGTAGTATATTTCGAAATTTAATCTAAAATTTTTTGAAATAACCTTTATGTTTATAAATTATAAATTGTGTTGACAATCCTTTTTTGGATTTTCAGTAGTTTCGAATAATTGGATTCGATAAAATTATCACCAAAAATTGTGGAAGTCATTTAAATTTATGTTGTATTTTAAAAATTGGCAAACGTGATATTTTTTTTTCTTTCATCCTATGCCCAAATGGCTATGATGTTGTCCCGAATCAAATTTTACAGGTTTGAATGTAAAATCAGCTGTATTGATTTATTCAAAAATCGAATATAAATATTAAATGGAGATTGTGCAAAAATGTCTTCGGAATAAAAATTAAAAATATTATTTAATTCATAAATCTAAAAAAAATAAATTATCTTTTTTTTGCTAAATAATTTTAATAGTCAGTTTCCAAAATTCAAAAATATCAATATCCCGTTCATGCGGTTCCCGTTTTAAATAGATAAAAAACATTTTTATATACATCTTCTACAATCAATAAAATAATAATGAAAAATGTTGAGTACGACACTCATATTTCAATTGAGAAACGCTAAAAACTCAATTAAAATATAAATTATCTTCATTAATACCTTTCAATAATATTTTAGATATTTTCGATAGGGATTTTTTAACTTAAAACATATGCTAAGCGAGCTGATTCCAGCTCGGCGCTACCTTGACCCCTTACCTCGAAAGAATTATATAATACACATTCAAACGCTGATTCAGAAAGTATATTTAGTCTAATTAAAAATTTATTGAGGAAGGATCGTAATCGATTATCTTTATCAGCTTTAGAATCGGAATTAATGATTAAACATAATTTTAAAGAATATGTAACAAAAAAATATTAAAAATTCTTCTGAAAAAATGAAAATAAAAATATGTACTGATTTTTTCAATATTTTGAATCTATATTATTTCTAATATAAAAAATAATTATTTTATAGATTATGGTTAAATTCTCCCGCTTTTTATTTGAATAAATCTGGTAACCCTAATTAGAAACCCTATGAACATCAGGCGATGAAATATAAATGATAACCTTTGTCTTTGATTCTTTCCAAATTTCGACTTCCTACCAGATAAGTTTTGATATCGGAATGTTTTCTAACGTTAGTAAAAAAAAAAGATGACTACTAGTAAATGTAAACTAAGATTTACTTGTTAAGGAATGATGCGGAGGTGCCCCCACTGCTTAGAGAAAAATATGCCTAATTTTGTCAAAAGTAAATATAATAAAGGAGTCATACATAATAAAGTTTTAATATAATAAAGATATTACAATTATAATTATTATTCATAACTCATAACTAAATGAGAATTCATTATATTTATAAAATAAATTTCAATCTTTTCTATATAAATCAGAGACCTGCAGACCCAGCCCTAGGACCGGCCGGCCTTTTTTTTAAATTTATACATCATGAATTATTATATTCGTCAATTAAATATGGTTATAATGATTATATAATTTATTTCCATTTTTATAAATATTAGTTTTATTTTTATAAATGCAATATATAATATAGTATATTCTCAAAATTTTATTTACTTCCATTTTTTTTTAATAAATATTAGTTTTATTTTTTTTATAAATATAATATAGTATATTCTAAAAATATTATTTACTTCCATTTTTATAAATATCAGTTTTATTTTTTTTATAATTATAATTAATATAGTATATTCTCAAAATATTATTTACAGAATTTTTTTCTAGTATCAATGTATAATATAATAAATATCTGTTTAGAATAAAAAAAGATAAATATGAATATGCTTGCTTATTAATGATAATATTGGCTGAAAAATATAATAAAATACCGAATAGGTGAATTTTTTGTATATATCAGGTAGAATATAATTTTAAAAAATTCTGAGCCGTAAAAAATTTTTGAAAAAAAAAATCCGGGCCTGGCAGTGCAAATGGTACTTTTAAAGGTCTCTGATATAAATTAATTAAAATGGGTTATTATTAGTTAATAAGTTCTTAATTATTTAATTGTACAATTAATTTTCGTTTCTTGTAAATAATACAAAGTTTTATTTATAAGGTTAAATGCTATATGCTTACATTTTCATCATAGGCGTGACAAAGTTCAATACGATTTTTTGAATCATACAAAGTAAAATATCTTTGAAAAAAAAAATTTATAGGTAAAAAAGTTTTAGAATTTACTGATGAAGAAATCTTTGAATTAGAGTTTTAATTTCATCATTCACATAATAGGACGGCTAGCACGGGAAAGATATATTAAATTACTAGTGTTAAAAATAGGCAAATTTACTCGTATAAAAGGCAGAGTCAAGGAGTTTTCCAAATCAAATTTAATGATCTTGGGTAATTCCATTTCATCCTAAATTTTTAAAAAATTATATAAATCCAGATATATAAAGCTTACCAAAATCTCTAGTTCAGGAAAAATCTTGCGAATAGCACTTTCATAAAAATAATAATTTTCCAACATTAAAAATGAATGTAAATGACAATAATTTGATATTTTTTGTCAATTATTGATCCAAGTAAATTGGTATAATCGTAATTTACATAGATTTTAAAGAATTATGATGGTAAAAAATTAAATCGATCTCATCATCCAGATAGATTCCCCAAAAGTAACATATTTTTCCAATAAGATGTGTATTACATTTTTAAGATAGTTTTATTTTCGGTATCGAAGGCGAACATAATATATATATATAAATGAAAATTAAATTTATATCAGATAAGTAATTAGTGTAATAGATTTCTTAATTTATCAATAGTCAATATACGAGGAAATAAAAATCAATTTTATTTGTGAATGAATAGGAAATAAATTTTTGTATTTTCTTATCTGCATAATATATCAATGTAAAAATAGAAAAGTTTAGTATTGCTTTAAACCCATGATATTTATATTAATATAAAATTATAAAAAAAATTTCTCCTTTTTTTTTTATTTTTTGTCTTTTACATATTTTTTCTTATCTTGATTGTTTTGTAAAATTTTTAGTGAATGATACTTAGATTTTACAAATTAAAAAAAATGATTAAAATTTTTCTAAAATTAAATTAAAAAAATATTGATAATTAAAAATATATGAAGTAAAAAGAAGAAAATTAATTTAATTGATAATAAAAATAAGATTTTATAGTATAAAATGTTATATACAAAGGAAACCTTTGTTACTTAGAATGAATCAGGTGCATGTGAGGGAGATAGTAGAGGAAAGGGAAATGTAGCAAATGAAATGCTAATAAATGACTTTGTAATTTCAAATGAATCCATCTTATGTGGAAAGGATAGGGAAAAAATGAATATTAATAAATTGAATCAAGTGTTAAATTATAAGAAATTTTGTAATTCAATATATTGGATTAAAGGGTATACATTTTCTTGAATATTTTAAACATTGTTATATTAAGTATTGTTACAACAAACATAGTAAATATTATGGTGATCTTCAAATAACTGTAAGTTGATAGCTTTCAATCAGCTTGATTTACAAAATTATTCTGTCATAAAAAAGGTGGGAATATATGAATATTGTAAGCCATATAAAATAATCAAGGTATACATTGTCAAGGCATATTAGACAATTGTATTTTTATCGATATTATAAGCATGTTAAATGTGTAAAATAATAATAATCAGGGAGGACAATCAAATTAGAATAGGATATTAATTCTATAATTTGTCAAACTAAAGTATGTCATATTTGCTAATAATGCAATAAACAAAAACTCTGGTAAAAAAAATTATACATTATTAATAAATAATCTAGTATCATCACCATTCAAATTTTTTTTTGCTTTTTTTTTGTTTTGTGCATTTTTTTCCATACTTAAATATTATATTTTTATCTTTTTAAAGTATGTTATTTATTTTATCTAATTTTATATCTTATAAATATCATAGTTTTAAAACTGTGTAATGAATATTTATAGCATTATATCAATCAAAATGATAATATAAAACAATATTAATGAATAATGGGATATATATATATAATATTTAAAAAAGAAAAATTATAATAACTTATCTTAATTACTTATTGGTCAATCAAAAATGATTTTTGCAGGAAATTTTTTTTATATTAATAGAATGTATAAAAATTAATTTATTCAATTTATTAAAAAATAGGACCTTATATAGGCATCAGTGTCTGCATAATATTTGACAAGTGGATTACCAGACAACGTTAACTTTCTGAGAGGGAATTGCCGAATCTTAATTAGCTCACTTTCACTTTTAATCTAAATTTATTACATAACATATTTTTAATATAATAAAGCAAATAATTATAATAATAAAGATAAATAATAAACTAAAAAATTATCAGTGAAAATTTCAAAAAATTTTGTATTAAATAATTTTTTTAACTTGATTGTTTGCTAAGGATAGGTGATAAATGTTTTTAATTGCTGATGATAATGGAATCAGATGATATAAATATGAAATTTTGTTGCTGCTAAGATCAATAAATTCCACCTATATATATTATTTACTTTACATATCTTTAAAAAAAATTACATCAGGAACATGCTTTTGAATGATATTTATAACTGCTTTCAAAACATTAGGTCGAAATAATGGCAGATAAATTGATTGAGATTTTAAATCTAAATTATTCTTAAAATTATACATTTCACTCTATTTGCTACTTGAATCATTTGCAAAATTGGATAAATTTAACATTTTTAGGTCAATATTATAACGTATGCTCATAACATTCTTTAATATTTATATATAATAAAATTAATATTAATGATAACTATTACCCTTAACTTTTCCGCATAATTGGCATCTAATTCGGGTGGATTTGGTGCTCTATCTTTAACCCCCAGTATTTTTATCTAATAAAAAAATATATATATCTACTTAACATTATCTTTAAATACTTTAAATCCATCAGGTGATTTCAATTTTAATGAGATATTAATTAATTGTTTATATGTTTCAATATTGTTAGTCCAGAATACAAATGCATTTCCTTGTATGCAGGCCTTAACACTATATATATTAAATTTATAATGCTAATTTACATTCACAGGATTTAATGATTGTGAAATGTGTTGTTGAAAAATATTTACTAAATATTCCTTGCCCATTTTATTACCATAGGGAACCTAATATAATAAATAAAACCTTATTTATATGTATAAACTTACAATCATCTTGTACCAATTAGAATCATTATTTTGATTAACAGTTTTCGATTTATTCGAATATTTTTTAAAATTAGTACTAGGATTTTGTTTATTTCTGCCTAATAAAACTTCACGAGAATTATATGCATTTGTCCTAATTTGCAATCTATTATATTAATGTTAAAAACATCAAATATATAAAATATACCTCATATCATTCATTGGAATGTCACCTTCGTTATCAAAATTCATCAATTTCCCTGAAACAATTAATTAAAATAAAATAGACAAATAATTTTACTCAGGGGAGGAGGTTTATAAGTTTGTCTCCAGTTATGTTTAGGCATCACCAGCAGATGGATAGATAATTAATACTTTATAATACCTAAAACCTAATTAATAAACATTAAATTTCAATCATAGTATTTTGATTGTTTTTTCCATAGATTTGCCTAATTACATGGAATATTTTTGATTTTATTTAATTTAGGAATATATATAATCATTTAGTGGTTAAAATTTCTAAAATTAAGAATATTAAAAATAGATAATTATGGGGAGTTTCAATTTTATCTTAAAGATATTTATAATTATTTCGAAGATATGGTCATTATTTAGTAACTTAAATAATATTTTAGTTTATTATAAAACCATTATGTGGCGCAAGCTAAGACAGCGGCTCCTATGCTCCATCAAGCCTAATAATAAAAGGAAAAAATTCCCCAAGATTTTAAAAAATTTAAGCCTCTCCCTCGACTAAACCCTTAAATGCATATTCAAAAATAATAAAAAAGTAGTCTTTATTGAACAGTCAATATGTAGTTTTTAAAATTCAATATAACATATGATTCTGACCAGAAAAATAAATATATTTTTTTAATTTTATATTTTATAGAAATAATGGGTTTTTGCTACCTTGTTAAAACAACTTGATACGACGTCTAGGCATATGCGTAGAAATGACTTTATTATGGGGTAGGGGCGTCAGCCTTTACAATCTAAGGCAGGATTTAACATTTCAAAATTAAAAAATCTTCAAAGATCTTGCTCTTTTGAATAAAAAAATTGAAGATTTTTGAGCAAAATAAAAAATGTTTTTGCAAAAAAATCATCAAAGATTTTGAGCAAACAATTTAGGATTTTTAAAATATAATAAAATCTTTTATATTTCCTTTAATTTTTTTAAATCAATGATTTTCCTTTTTTTATATTTTTTAAATCTAAATAAAAAAAACACTAACGTGAAAATCGAAGAAGGTTTTTTTAGAAAAAACATTGCTCACATGCTCAAAAAATTTTTCTAGGCAGTTGCCCATTTATCAAGGAATTTTCTAATTGAGGTAAATAGGAATTTGATTGGGATTCAAAATTTGGTCAAATTGGGGATTGCCAAATTACGACAGGTTTGATTGTATATCATCTTCAATCATTATAAAAGTTTAAAAAAATTTCAAAATAAAATGTTTTCGGTCTTTTTCCAAAATTAAGAAATAAATGGCAAGATATGGAATAAATAAATGAATTATTTTAATTCTTAAATTGTGGAGGCTAACTTTGAAGAACTAAGAAGAAAAGATATGATTAAGGGTTCAAATTCTATGGTCTGCAAAATATATTTTAAACAAAAAACTCCTCACATTTTACTTAGGCAACAAGATCTTTATTCTCAAATGGAGGTAACAATGCCCGAGGAATGACTCCCAGCAAACCCGAGAAATAAGAGGAAATCCCTTGTTTATCGACAATATATTCAACTATTTCACCTTTATTGTCAATCTAACGAGAACGATTAAAAATTTTTATATATAAATATAAATTTTAAAGGAATTAGAAAAAGTTATTAATTATAACTTTAAAAAATGAAAATAAAAATAAATCATAAATCATGATGATTATATAATATCACGACAATACATACAAACAAAATGGATAACGATAATGATGAAGTTGCACACTGCCCGCGACAACGAATTGCTCTACTTCCCTTCAATAAAAACATAGCATGAGATTAAAGAAAAAATGTTATATAAATTTTTATGTAAATTTAAAAATAATAAAGATCTTTAATAGCTTGCCATCTTATTCTTTAAATAATTATAAAAATATATATTTAAATTATAAATGAATAAAGAATGACATTCGATTTTAAGGGTACTAACATTATCATTTTACCGCGTATTTGTAGAGGAATTATAACTCTATTTCCCTGTATTAAACAATCACCTAGTATTTATAATTCATTTTACATATTCTTTCCATACGTCTTTCCACGGTTTTTCTCATTTAACTTTTTTTAATAAACATGTCTCTGGATTTTTGACGTAAATTTATGGATCACCTTTTTGGAAGGCCATTCTTTAATAATTTTAATACCGAACAAACCATCGCATTTGTGTTTATTCAACATTTTTTCTTTTCGTTCTCATCGGATTTTCCCCCCGTTTCTACTATGATAAGATATCCGGAAGATTATTTTAATCTATCAATGTCTATATATCAACTACATATTAAAACTAACTACCAACAACAACTATGCAATCATCGGGACATTATTAGATCCTTTTATTTTAGCTTAAATAGGTGAATGGAAGGTTTGTAATTATATAAATCACAAATTTCTTACCAATCAAATATTATAAGCTTTGCAAACCCAAAAATCACAAGTAATATTTTTTATCGATTACAGAGAATCTTTTACGGCTTCACGAAATATCCCCGAAAAGAATATAAAACCGATTGTTCAATCCCTTACATCAAGCAATAAGGCGCCATCTGTGCCTATATTGGGGGCATTTAAATAACCTTCTTATTTTTAATGATAAAATAATATCTACCTCTACTTGGCATGAAACAGATTAAAGCATCACGCGGACGGTCAGATAGCTATTGTCGATTATATATATCTTTTGTAAATTTAAAATCACAATTTGTTTAATAACCAAATTATTTCATAAACATTAATTATTTATTTAGATTGGAAAAATAAATATCTTTTCTTTTTTTTTATAACACAATTAAAAAACTACTCAAATAACAAACAACGGTAATAAAATACATATATGTCTTATGAACAGGGTTGCCAGGTCAAAATTTTCAAATTGCGGGAGAAATTTGGTATTATGCGGGAGAAATATAAAAATTGCGGTAGAAATATAAAAAAAAAATTTTTTGGCCTTGGCCGGGATTTGGAATTGACTAAATTATCCGCCTGTTATTTTTTTATTTAGTTTATATAAATACAAAGTCGGTAACTATTTTTCAAAATTAAATAACATCTTGATTTATTAAAATATATTAATTTATAATAAAAAACCAACGATCCTTTTTAAATACAAAAGAATGTAAACAAGATAAAATTATATAAAAAAAACGATTTTCATTTTATAATTAAAATATATATTTTATGCGAATGTCCCGCAAATCGACCGCAATTGGAAATCTACTGTGTGTGTATATAACATTATAGGGATAGGCGCTTAATTATAACATATGACGTTTATATACATAATAAGGTACTCTAATAATAAGAAATAGGAAACTACTTGCGGCAATTGTAATCACTTATCTTGTAGTACAACATTCACAGATGGTAGAATCTTTTTCCCATAATATTTAACGACTCTAATATAGATGAAATCTATTCTTGTAGAGCAAAAATGAGGAAGGCTATCATCAATGTTTTAGGACCTAAATCCAGAAGGTCAATTCTTGACGATTTGAAAATGGTCATACATATGCAATTCTAACAGATACATCTAATTTTCATCAAAAGGTCGTTTCAATAAAATTATTAAATTTTTTTTCCTCAAATAGTGAAAAATCCAAAGATATAGCTAAGTAAATATAGCAGATTCGAGATTATCAACAAATTGAATGTCAGCTTTCTGATCTGATAATGCCTCAGTGAATTTGGTAAAAACAGAGTGTATTTACAGAATTGAGTCAGCACAATGTTGGTTGCGATATGTTCCTAATACCCGCCATCGGAATTTAATAATTTTATATACCTTTAAAAAAATATTTCTTAAATAGAGATTATAAAAGCTGTCCTAATATTTTGAATATTATTTTCAATAATGAATGGCAGAGGTATATTTAGGAATAATTTCACATGTAAGAAATCTTCTACATGCTGTTGCAATCAGAAGAATAGAGGTATATTTAGGAATAATTTCACATGTAAGAAATCTACTACATGCTGTTTCAATCAGAAGAATCTTAACAAAGATTCACAAAATTATGCTGCAGATGTGTTCATCTTTTCAGTTAAAAATTGACAATATATTTTATGGCGCCATTTCTAAAGCTTAATTATATTTTATTTGAGATTTAAATAATAGAACTAAATGTTTACCGTCGTTATTGAGATATTTATAAAATTCCTGGCATGACATATTATATATTTGTTAAATCATTAGCTCGACCTCTAATGTTGTTAAAGCAATACGATTTCTCTCCTTTTTCCAGGCAGTCCTCACCAGGCTAAAAACGCACTCGGATGAGGCATTAGAATGAGGTAAGGAGAAGATATACTCGCAAATTTTTTCCAAGCATGGGGATTTATCGTTATTACGAAAATTTTTTACCCATTTCTCCTCTGCATTTAGACCATCTAACTTTAAGTATTTTAGCGAATCATAAAAAATAGGGAGAATTACTCCTCAAACAAGAAATCAATGAATTTCGGTATTTTTAATATATTTATTAATTATAACCATCAATTGATGGTTTCTGTTCCAAGGTCATAATATTTATACATTTGTAAATAGTTATTTGATTGTAAATATTCTATAATTGTCTTAATAAAAATATCTGCTTCATTTAAAAATGTATTATTTAGAATATTATTTGAACATTTTAATATAATAATAGCGCCATAAAATTTATTATCAATTTTTAACTGTAGAGATGAACAGAGCTGTAGCATGATTTTGTGAATCTTTTTTATAAATAATATTCTGTCTGATTGCAGCTGAATATTAACTGCATGAAGTAGATTTCCTACATGTGAAACGAATCTCAAATATGCTTCTGCCATTTCAAACTCGAAAAAATTTCTCAAAATTTTAGGACAAGCTTTTAAAATCTTTATTTAAGAAAAGTATTTTTTAAGGGTTTGTAAAATTTTAAAATTCTATCGATGGCAGGTATTAATGACAAACATCTGGTAGGTAATATATCGTAACAACTCTCGCCATTCCAAGTCAGACCACTTCACCAACTCTTTTAATTCATTAACTCTTTTAGTTGATGACTAGATTCGTTAAAACATTTCATCACAATTATTTCAACATTCACAGATAGTACAATCATTGTCTTCTTGCAAGAATTAATGGCATATACAGCCAATTGGTATTAATTCATTATTGTGCTGCCTCAATTCGA